AACCTCTACGAGGATTTCAGGAAAGCATAAATTCGTTATTTAGTCATTTGCGGTACAACGTCCTAATGGCGGCAATTACCTGCACGACCGTCGTCGTCGTTATTGTCCATCGGGGGGAGGTCGTGCGCGTGTATCCGTATATTATGCCACATGTAACGTAATATATGCGCAACATGCCTGTATATTACACGCGTTAAACGCATAGATACACGCAGTCGGTCGGCTTTCTTCCAGGCCGCTCGTTAATGAAGCGGTGCTCGGCTCGTATTCCTCTCGTCGGGCCATCCTCACTTCGTCATTACGCGAGACACAATCTCTGGGGTCTGGTTCTGGAATTTCGTACCACCGCCACTCGACGCAATACGAATAATGTCACTTTCTGTGTAACTGTGGAAAATCGCAAAGCGATTCTCTCGCGGCGTGTGGCTCGCGTGAAATTCTGATAAATTGCCGCGTAACACTTAATTCTCAATGCGCTTGACCCTATCTACGAATTTTTGTGTCACACGAAAATAACGATTTTACTGAAACATCTTAAAATTTAGCTAGATAGAGATCTGAAGATCTACTTTTGTTACATTATCGAAATAATTATGCAGGGCACTCGAATTGGTTACCGAAACTCTTTGCAGTATCTATCATTCATCATGTTTCAGCGTCATAATTATTTTGATGGTTCAATAAAATTATTTTCAGATCTATATCTAACAAAATCTTTAAATATTTCAACAAAATCATTCTTTCCCTGATAATTTCTAATTCAATTTCGCGCAATGTAAATGACATTCGAAGTAACTTGAAAATTTTTTGCAGGTGCCGTTTAAAATACGAATGCTAACATAGCTTGAATTAACATAATTTCATTGTGCTGCTAAATATTTTTTCTAAAAATCAATTGTTTATGAACAAAATGTGCCCAAGGAATCGTAATTTCTTGCAAAATGCGCGTCCCTTCCTTGATTTACGAGGAATTCCTTAGAACGCTTAGAAAGAGAGAGAGAGAGAGAGAGAGAGAGAGAGAGAGAGAGAGAGAGAGAGAATCGACTCGAATTACGCTTCTTGTCACGGATCGAACATGTGACATTTCGTGACTGCGGGTACTTTTTTGTTCGCCATACAAAACGTCTTCAGGATTCTGCGCAATTAAGCGGAATCCTTGGTCATATATGTACCTCATAAATGTTTTCATTGATAGTCTTAACTATTCGAAGTACTTTTTACAGAATATGTAATACCTTCATTATCCTACATTAAAAACATTCTCAAGCCAAAATAGAACAAAAATATATAATATCTTAATTTTCAACTAGACTACTTTTAGCTGTGTAAAAGCATGATTTTCCATTGTATTTTAAATTACGTAAAATTTATGAACAAAATATACGTGTATTTAATAGAATTCTCGAAAATCAAACAACAATAAAATATTAATAAACGAGCAATGAGAGCATTAATACAGCGCAGTATTTAGAGCGCAATACATATAATATATTCTAATAAAATAATTTTATTAATTAAGTATCTATACAAGCTTCTTGAACGTTTCGGTTTCTTTGAAATCATCACCAGCAATGCCGTATATAATTTACTATACAATGTCTTAGCAATATATAGTCCGCAGTTGGAAATAATTTCTATGTTAGACAGAGGATGAGCATATTTCTACTTCCTAGGTGAGAATTGCCGGAATATCTCTTCTGTTTAAGTGACTCTAACTTTCGCTTCCATAGATCACAATTCAAAGCGCCATACGTTATATTACAATAAGTAAAAATTTTAATTTTACATTAAATATAAAGATATTGTTACAGATATTATTCATGTGGAAGTCAGATACGTGATGGTTTGAAGGAAATCGAAACGAAATTCAAGAAATTTGTATAGATACTTAATGTAAAATTATTGAGAATGTATTATATATATTGCGCTCCAAATACCGCGCTGTATTAATGCTCTCATTGCTCGTTTATTAATATTTTATTGTTGTAAAATTTAAAGTATCTCTTAGAAAAAAATGTAATCTTATTTATTTATTTCGACCGTCGATGGCGAACTTGCATGACGACGAAATTGTTTTATCCGATATTCTCGTCTGAAAATGGAATATTCGAACGGATGTATATTATAGCGCATGGCCGGTCAGAACGATGATTCGCCAGCGTGGAATTTGGAGAATACCACGCCGCGTTTTTCGAGAGAACATCCCTCGTATAAAAATAGTCCGCCCGATATTACACGTGGCTTCCTCGCGCGAATACCGTTGTTGCTCTCATACTAGAGCGGAAAAAATGGCGATAATACTTCGCATCGTACGCTGAGATAGAATCTCTCTCTAATGTCTAGAGCCACTATCAATCGCAGCTTCTAAAAATTTGCAGTTTATCTTCATTTTCTAGAGAAAAATCTTCAAGTATTTGTAAAATGTTAATTTTTTATATTAAATATATTAAATGTATTTAAGAGGCTAAATTAAATTTTATTAACTTTTAATAAAAATATCTCCAAAAAACAATATTATTTTAATACCTTTTTATATTTAAATATATAATAATGATAATATATGATTAAAAAATATCGAGGCGAAGAGATCGTAGCTGTCACAAATGTCGAATTATAATTTATGTTTTAAGTTTGAAGTTTGAATGTTCCAGTTTAGAGAGAGTTAAAATGTCGAGTCCATCGATGTTGAACTATTTCCGCGGCGTGCGAACTATCGTTACGGTAAACAGAAAATATCACTAGCGTCAAAACGGCGCGAAGTAGCGCGTTAACTCACGGGCTTTAGGAGTTTGTTATTTCGGTTTTGGCGTTAACTCCCGCGAGCCAACGACAAGAGACATTCGCCAGACCACCCTGAAATCGTTTTTCTCCTCTCTCTCTCTTGTGTCCCTTCCACCGGTTACTGACTTTCTACATTGCGTCGTGACCAATAGTGCCTGATGGTGCTAAGCCTTCAGGCACGAAAATAACTAAAACGCATGGTGTATTACAGCAACAGCGTGATGTAAGATTTTCCACGGTATATATATTCCACGGGAACAGAAAAGACTGCATTGGCACGCGCTGTCGAATAATTCGATCTCGATGCACTGAAAAATTGGAGTAAAAATTTTTTTTTAATGGAATAGTAGTCTTATATTTTACAGATGACTTATTTTCGTGATAGTCCTGACAAAGAAACGTGAGAAAAAAATAAATCGAAAATACGCGACAGAGCAGCGCTATGACGAACTCTAAGTCTGGTAGCAGAATTGTTTTTATGAAGCTTATGGGACGGATCGAATCGCGCACGCGGCCGCGATTAATCGGATGGAATTCGTGTCGCAGCCTCACCGTAGCACCGTCGAGGACGATCAAAAAGTCCTTACCGCGTATCACGGTGAACGGGATGCGCAGAGCGAGCACCCAACGAGAGAAGTTCCTTTTCTCTTCCCGAGCATCTTCCCTCTTAGCGGGCCGGTTCTTCTACAAGAAACACTTTCAATGGACCACACGCGCGACGACCTCGCGCTCGACGAGTGCGCTTCTTACAGAGTCAGGGGCTTATGTCATCTATCTTAGGGAGCTGCACTCATATTCAGCCGCGGCGACACTCCAATGCACCGCTCACAGTGGGACCTTTATCCACCGAAACAGCAGAGAGGCTTTTAGGTTCCGTGCGCATCACGATGTAATGAGCGATGAAATGGATGAGCTCGTTTATTAACCCCTTCTATTGTGCTCTACTCTCAGTTTAAATGTTTATAGCAATCGGGATTATCTTTCATTTGTTATAATTATAAATTTTTAGAAAGAGGTTATTTTAGTCACGAAGTAGTTTTTGAACTTAAAATAACAGTGAAGAGTAATTTTTTATATATATAAATAGATTCTTTTTGCTAATCGTTACTTTGAACATTTCCGAATTATAATGTTTATCACTATATATGTCTGTCATGTAAAAAATAAACTTTGTCTACATGAAACATATTATTAATTATCTAACGTATATTTCAGATTTTAAATTGCTGGTAAATAAGATTTAATATCTTGATGTAATCTACGGAGTTTACATATTTATTTTTTAAGTTGACGCATATAAACTAATATATAATATAAATAATTAGGTATTACGAATTAAATATCAAGTAAAGAAATTAAAAATATCACGTTTATTGCTTGAGAAACAAGTTAATAGACATGTACATGAGAGTTTAAACAAAATAATTAATGAATTCGTAGCAATGACAACAATGTTATTACAAATTTTACTTTAAAATAATATGATCGGTGACTTTAAGTATTGACTACAAAGTTCAATGTTTATAACTTGTTCTTTATTACTTGCGAATATATAATTTTTAAGGAAATATTTATTAGCGTAACGAATTTTGTGTTGAAATAAATACAGGTGATTTTTGTTTCGATTTGTACAATTAGCTGGTTTTATTGTCAACGAGACGATTCCGATAAAATCGCTGTACCGTTTCATCACATCGTTATTTCTTCCGCGTCAAGGATACAGTTGCCATATATCGGAAGTAATAAGCGACAAAAAGAAAGAGAAATACTAGCTATAAATTAATCTTTAAGTACCACGTGAAAAGAAATTTATATTGATGGTTATCGCTTTTAGGAACTCATTTTGAACAATAAGATGCATTTAAAAATTGCGTATAAATGTATACTATAAAAAGAATGTATATAAAAGTGATTTATTCTTAATAATTAATTTATATATTTTTTTAATTAATAGATATTTTATTATGTATTAATCCTGTCTAATCAAGACATTATCATAAAGTTATAAATCATGAAAGATAAAATGTTTACTCAAAATTATTATTTGTTCCTGATTTATTATATAAAATATATTGAGTAAATTCAGCCAAGAATCTGTAATCAAGCAGAAAAACAATTGACATATTTATGGGACATGCGTAACTTGTTATCAATAAACTGATGGAATATGCAGGAAAAGCGAGTGTCTTGAATAATATCGACTTTGTTTTTCATTACAGTGGCCTACGTGGTTTTTCCGCCCAGATCTTCCACTTGGCACGCCGCTACCGACGAGTCACGTTCCAAATTCGAGTAACGTTCCTACTTCGTCGCCTCTGCCATCTCGGACGCATCTGGACGTTCCGAAAGGACCGGAGCCTCCTTCCAACAGCAACAAAGTCCATGGACAGACGCCAACGATATGCACAGTGAGTGACACGTTTGATTATTTGCGATTTGATTCTGCTAACTAGACCGGAATAATTATGCGACTGTGTCTTGTCAGTATAGAAATCTTACAAGTGACCGAATCCAAAATATTGAAAACTTGTGGCAAGTCAAACAAGTCAAAAATATTGTGTATGTTTATGGCTAAAAATTTTGGAAACGTATATTTAATTAATTTGATAGAATCTGAAAAACTGTAAGTTAATAGTAATAAATAATTAAAAAGTAAATAAAAACGATAATAGCTATATAAAAATTTAAAAATCTTGAAGGGAGAAAAATATGATATAGATATCGAAAAAGATATTTTGCCCTTCTTTAAAAAATTATATTTATAACAACGATGTCTCAATATTTGATCAGTACTAATTACTAATAATTATTTTAAAATCTGATCGATTATTAAATCACTCAATAATAGTTAAATGCCGATAATATGCACGGTAAGCGATACTCATTCGCTCGTTGGCGATTTTAATTAATGCACAATATCGTTAGTGGCGTCGATTATTCTCGACTATAATTGTTATTAATTTATTTGACCGCAACTTTATGCCATTACAAACGCACGAGTGCGTAAAATTGTAATGCAATTCCCCAGTCAGTGTCATGTTATTTAAAATAAGTGATTAAATCAATTCGATTTTTTTGTACATCTTACGATCGCATAACAATGACTTATGTGAGGCGAAGTTTTGCTATCCGACAAAAACGCCAGTTAACTTGTTCTCTTGAGCTGGTAATAACGCATAATGAGCAATAATTTTGTATAAAATTATGGATATATTTGTATCACGCGTGTGAACGGTGACGAGTAAGTTTTATAGCCTTCAGACGAGGTCGATTGTCATTTGTATACATTCAATCCGATCGCGTTTGATCACCGGTCACGGAGCGAAATAATTTTCATCGTGAACGATGCGAACCTAGTACTTTGTCGCGATAGCGTGCTGACAAGTGACACCGACAACTGAAATACACGCTTAGCACGAAACGATATTCTCTTGCTTGCAAGCTGTGATTTTGTCTTTTACGTCATAATTATAATGATAGTGACGTTCGCTTTGTTGACATCGAGCGACCCTAATACTTTTTTGCTTTTACAATCGCAATGGTTTTTTTTTCGCCGCAGCATCAATATCATAAGAAGAATGATAAATATACATTTCTCGTTTTTTTAAACGCCTGTTTATTGCAAGTGGTGCAAGTGGTAAATTAAAGGAATATTGACAAAATACTCGAACATAAGACAAGTTAAAATATTGTAGATATCATCTTTCTAGGTATCACAACTTATACTTGGAAAAAAATCTGATTGCATTAATTAGAATTTTGATTGATATAATTCCATTTTCAGAGATCTTCAAAACTAATAACTGTGTCACATTTCTCAAAAAATGTTAAATTTTTTAATTTACGGTTGTTTCGACTTCTAAATCTTGAGAAACAGATAAAAAAGATATAGGTCTAATATTTTTTTATAAAGTTTTGCTCTACAATATAAATTGAAAAAGAATTTGATGATAATTATTAGATATTAAGTGAAATAATTTCAATCAAGTGTTCAGTCAATATAAAAATAATTTTACTTTTTAATGTTTAGTAAGTATTACCACAAACATACAATAATATATCAATTGTATAATATAACAATTGCTGAATATTTAGAAAATAAAAATTATTTTTGGTTAAATTAATCGAAGATTTGATTAAAATTATTTTACTTAACATTTGATAGCTATATTAGCAAATTTTTTTTTCAGTATCTCTACAGTTCGTCAAAAGGGACAATTCCAACAATTTCTTTACACAGTAAAAAAATTTGTGTATTTGTGTTGGAAACAATCCATTCACGTTTGTGTTAATAGTTTGTGTTGAATTTTTTAACATATTCAAGTATTAATTTAATATAATGTAATTATATTATTTAAAGATTTTTTGTGAAATTGATATGATTGATTCAATATTTTTTAGTGTCGAAACACAATTTATGAGTAAGTGAACAAGTAACATAAAAATAATGTTTTAAAACGTAAATTCTAAGAAAAAAATGAAATAAAATCCGTGTTAATTTAACATATCATAAATATTAATTTTTTGACAAAAAAAATATGCTTTCACGGTTTGTTTACAAATTGTGTCGATGTTAACTTTCTTTGCATTTATTCTCTTACATAATATTTGTATTACCTTCTAACATACTCATCTGTGTAAAATTAACTCAAAAATTTGAGTGGATCGGGACATGCGATTTATGTTAAATTCAATACAATTTTTCCAACTGTGTGTCAATGTATTGTCTTTATTATCTTACTTTATTTTCAATGGTACGATTGACACCAAACTATCCTATCGACGCGACCTTCCATCCTCGCGTTATTCAGTCGCCGGAACTCATTCCGAGCTGGGAGGCGCACAAGCTTAACGATCGGCGACACGGCATAGACGTGCCGGTCGTATAAGTTACGGGACCGACGTGGAACACGATCGATATTCAATTTACAGTTTTGTCACAACGGTATTGCGTGAGTTTCGTGGAAAAGTGGTGCCACGTTGACGTTATTACACCGTGGGAGTCATTGCGGCAATGCCGCTATTGGCGTGGACTGAAACCCTGAAAACCGCGTGGGCGACGAGCGCCTCGTTAGAGCGCTGTCGTGGCGCTCGTTAGCGTGGACTATGCGTCTCGTCGACCGTTACAGAGTCATTTAAACGCAATATTTAATAAAGGCACGCGTGCGAGACTCGCGAACAGTGTACCCTCCATAACTGCGCCGGGGGAGCCTGGGTCGGCTTCCTTCTCTCCTCTTCCTCCTTTTCCTCCTCTGCTATGATTGTTATCCACCCGTCGCGTAAATCGCGACGCCCGGATATTAATTATCGCGCGAGATCGCGAGTAGTCGCGCCGAATGATCGATCTGGTCGCCGCGATTAAAGACGGCACTTGAGTGGGCGGAGGAGGCAATTTATATCAGCCCACGGGCGTGTATAAGTCACGATGTGTTTTGGACGCATGTACCGTATCGAAAATAATTTTGTCTGGGATTAATTAACCTTTGAAACGTGCAAAGCGATTGCAATATGTTTAACGATGCTGCCTTAGATACAAATGACTGGCAAAAAATGTTATCAAACTACTCGCAGATCAAATTTGGATTTAAATTTATTTTTAAAAAATTCTACTTCATTAAGAAAAATGTTTCGATTGTACCAACAAGAAGTACAAAGAAAACGAATTTTAATCATATAAATTAGAATTCTGGTTATCTCAATTATATAGAGTTTCATGATTTTAACTACAAATGTTTAATTTGTGCCTATCTGATTCGATCTATCAAAATTCCAATTAATAAAATAAGACTTTTTCCAGAGATAAAAACTTAGTAACAATTTAACGCGAATATTTTCTCGAAGATCAACTTTGCAATATGCAATTTTGAATTTTTCAAAATTCATTTTCAAAAGTTTCCATAAAGTACGTTCCGAGTTTAAGACAGGCAGCGAATACATACAATATGCAATTTTGGATTTCTTAAAATTTTTGAAAGTTTCCATAAAATATGCCGAGTTTAAGACTGACAGCGAATACATGCCGAGCTCGTGAAAGATCGAGCAGTGTCATTTTCGGAGTTTATTTCTCCTCGTTCGTAAGTTTACGACGCGTGGAAACAGCGATCGCTCGGGCCTATTTTTATTTCTCTCATGAGTTATCCGCAGCCACTGCTGCCCTATTTATTCTCATTGTAGTCGCTCGTTGGCAGAGAGCTCGTAAGGCAGCATGGTATTATCTGCGAACGTTACTATGTATTTTCCACGTGCTCCATATCGACGCGCACGGTCGCGCTAATAAATGTGCGTTTGTAAAAAAAAATTGTTCCGTTCCGAGAAACAGTTATTGCAAATTGCGACCGTGCGGAGGTACCTCTACCTATATATCTACCGCGCGGTTACGCGATCCTCGATATTCTATCCGGATCGTTAACGGCGATAACGCGCAGTGATTTTATTTCGGAGGATCAAGAGAGATATTCTCTTCTCTCTCTTCTCTCTCTCTCTCTCTCTCTCTCTCTCTCTCTCTCTCTCTCTCTCTCTCTTTGCGCACACGGCTGCTCGCCGAAATTCGAAGCACGCGGCGAGCCTTAACCCTCGACTACCATTTCGATTCGGATAACATAACTGCTACGGTAAAGGAATCCAGTTCCGATCTCTAATAGAAATGGCGCAGTATTTCATGCGTATGGCAAGTATTGTTGCTCCGAACTCTTTATTTTTCCATTATTTAATAAATGGGCGAAGTTGACAGACTCGTTCCCGAGGTATAGATCCTTATTGCGTTAATCGCGGAAGAGAGAATTCACTCTTCTTATTTTTATCATGGGCGGTGCAGTATAGTACTCGCCTTTCTGGATACAAGAGTTTGCGAATTATTCTTTATTACGCGTGCTCGCATTTCAGTTAAATCGAGCGTCTAAATGCAGCCGGTATATATAAAAGATATCATGCGCTTCGGAAACATTTTATCTACGCGCACGGCCGAAAGTAGAATAAAAATGTATCTTATCTGTTAGAGGGTAACGAATTTATCGCAGCAGAGTTATACGGGCGCAGTTTCGAACGCGATATTTTTAGCGAGATATCGATGCAGTTAAATCGCGAGAATGGAGCTACCACTCACTACTCCTTCCATACGTTGCGAGACTCTCGTAGCCAACAAATGTTTTAAAGTATTAGAATTTTTACGGTTATGGATTTCGTATTAAAATTGTATTAATCTCTTAAGTCATAATAATATAAAAACTACAAAGTTAATTAAAACATATAGATTAATTATTGAATATTGATATATACATTATTAGTGCGATAATGTACTTACTATTATTATAATTAATGCACTTTATTTAACTGAGATGATATCAATAATTGATATATGAAATTTTTTATACATATATATTGTTGACAGTATTATATAAAGATTTTTTTC